GTCGTATAAGCTTCATCTTTGGTCAGTGTCAACTACACACCTGGGCCATGTTAAATTGCGGAGATTTTGAGTTTTTGTGATACGGTGATGCGGTGGCGCCACGGCGAATTTTGATGACTCGCCATGAAAATCTTATTGCCTCTCATTCTGTCATACATTGTCCGATCTGGACCAAAGAGAACACATATGATAAGGCGCCACCCCTGAACATATTTCAACTGCCATATTTGACATCAAGGACAGCGCCACCTAGTGGGAACAGGAAATGTCATGTTTTACACTTTGGGGTACAGTATTGTGATGGGTGACATCTGCAGCCTCAAATTTCTCCAGGAAAGCCTCAAGGAGTTGGTCTTGGGTTACAGTGAAAACTGAGTTTTCACGCAAGGGTGTGACCCCGAAAGCATGGCGAACTTTGATGTCTCGCCATAAAGAAACAAATTAGTGTAACTCAATGAAATCAAGTCTGGTCAGTACCAGACTTTACAGGCATGATATCACACCTCCCCTGAACAGATTGATGTGCCCATTGTCAGGAATACACAGAGCGCCACCTAGTGGCAACAGGAAATGTCATGTCTTTCACTTTGTTGTACTGATTTTCACAGGTTCATCATGGCCACCTCAAATGCGGTGAATATCACCATCAGTCCCTCATGATGCTTCAGTGAGAAAATTGTGACTTTAAACTGAACGGCGCACCCTGGTGGCAACGCGGTTCACCATGAACAATAAAATGGCTTTTGAGGGGCTTGGAAAGTTTAAAAAGTTATGAAATTTGGCGCACACCTCCAATGTGATGAAGGCTTTGTTGTTATGTGATCATTTTCCTTGAATAGCCCAAAATGGCTCCACAGCGCCCCCTACAAAATTTCAAAGCTCACTCAGTTGAGGCAGCTTCTGGAAAAGCTTCATGACAACGCTCCCGATTGCATTTTGCTTCTGTGCAAAACAAAACAAAAAAACAACAAGAACGAAATATTTAGGAAATACATGAACTTATTTGTTCTGTAAATGTAGAAAATGTCTATTGCTACTCCATCTGGGCTCAGTAGTGAGGAACTTATTAACCTTGTAGTGTGCAGCGGGCACAGTGTCAACCTGACACCCATGTGCAACGAGTTTTAACTCTTATTGGCTGCCGACTGCGGTCCCGAAGAATACTGAATAAATGCGCATCAGTGTGCTACCCTGAACAGGGAACACGATATCAGGGAGTTTCTAACATGGAGCAAGGTGAAGGTGACGCTACTATGCAGGACCGCCCCTGCTTAGCTTCAGAGATCAGATGAGAACAGGCGTGGTATGGCCGTAAGTGAGAGGCTTCCTCGATAACGGG